CCCCCTTGTCCCCCCCTTGGGCTCCGGCCCCCCCCCCCCCGTCCCCGCTGTCCCCCACTTCGGGTCCCTTGGGGACACGGGGACTTTGCCCCATGAGGTGGCACCACATCACACCAGCCTAATTAGCCTAATGAGGGGTAATTAACCCTGAACCTCCCGGTGACGCCACCTCTGGTGACCAGGGGACAGCGGGGGCGGGAGCCGGGTGGGGTTTTAGGGGGAAATCCAAGGATTTGGGGGGTTTGGGGTGAAAAACATCGCTTAAACCAGGTCTAAACCCCTTAAACCAGACAGAAAAGCCCTTAAATCAGGACTAAATCCTTTAAACTAGGTTTAAACTCCTTAAATCAGGTTTAAATCCCTTAAGTCAGGTCTAAACTCCTTAAACCAGACAAAAATGCCCTTAAGTCAGGACTAAACCCTTTAAACTAGGTTTAAACTCCTTAAATCAAGTTTAAACCCCATAAACCAGATAGAAAAGCCCTTAAGTCAGGACTAAATCCCTTAAACTAGGTTTAAACCCCTTAAGTCAGGTCTAAATCCCCTAAACTAGGTTTAAACTCTTTAAACTAGGTCAAAAGCTCTTAAAGGAGACCTAAACCTCTTAAACCAAGTCTAAATCCCTTAAACCAGATAGAAAACCCCTTAAGTCAGGACTAAACCTTTTAAACTAGGTTTAAATTCCTTAAGTCAGGTCTAAATCCCTTAAACCAGACAGAAAAGCCCTTAAGTCAGGATTAAACCCTTTAAACTAGTTTAAACCCTTAAATTAGGTCAAAAGCTCCTAAACCAGATCTAAAGCCCCTAAACCAGGTCTAAATTCCTTAAACCAGATAGAAAAGCCCTTAAGTCAGGACTGAACCCTTTAAACTAGGTCTAAACCCCTTAAACCAGATAGAAAAGCTCTTAAGTCAGGTCTAAATCCCCTAAACTAGGTTTAAACTCTTTAAACTAGGTCAAAAGCTCTTAAACCAGACCTAAACCTCTTAAACCAGGTCTAAATCCCTTAAACCAGACAGAAAAGCCCTTAAGTCAGGACTAAATCCTTGAAACTAGGTTTAAACTCCTTAAATCGAGTTTAAACCCCATAAACCAGATAGAAAAGCCCTTAAGTCAGGACTAAACCTTTTAAACTAGGTTTAAATTCCTTAAGTCAGGTCTAAATCCATTAAACAAGACAGAAAAGCACTTAAACCAGACAGAAAAGCCCTTAAGTCAGGTCTAAATCCTTGAAACTAGGTTTAAATCCCTTAAACCAGGTCTAAATTCCTTAAACCATGACAAAATACCTTAAACCAGATCTAAACCCCTTGAACCAGGTCTAAACCCCTTAAACCAGACAGAAAAGCCCTTAAGTCAGGTCTAAATCCTTGAAACTAGGTTTAAATCCTTTAAATCAGGTCTAAATCCCTTAAACTAGGTTTAAATCCCTTAAATCACCTTTAAATCCTTTAAACTAGCTCAAAAGCCCGTAAACCAGGTTTAAATCCCCGAAACCAGATAGAAAAGCCCTTAAGTCAGGTCTAAATCCTTTAAGCTAGGTTTAAATTCCTTAATTTAAATTTAAATCCCTTAAACCAGGCCTAACCCTTGTTTAAACCCTTAAATTAGGTCAAAAGCTCCTAAACCAGATCTAAAGCCCCTAAACCAGGTCTAAATTCCTTAAACCAGATAGAAAAGCCCTTAAGTCAGGACTAAACCCTTTAAACTAGGTTTAAACTCCTTAAATCAAGTTTAAACCCCATAAACCAGATAGAAAAGCCCTTAAGTCAGGACTAAATCCCTTAAACTAGGTTTAAACCCCTTAAGTCAGGTCTAAATCCCCTAAACTAGGTTTAAACTCTTTAAACTAGGTCAAAAGCTCTTAAACCAGACCTAAACCTCTTAAACCAAGTCTAAATCCCTTAAACCAGATAGAAAACCCCTTAAGTCAGGACTAAACCTTTTAAACTAGGTTTAAATTCCTTAAGTCAGGTCTAAATCCCTTAAACCAGACAGAAAAGCCCTTAAGTCAGGACTGAACCCTTTAAACTAGGTCTAAACCCCTTAAACCAGATAGAAAAGCTCTTAAGTCAGGTCTAAATCCCCTAAACTAGGTTTAAACTCTTTAAACTAGGTCAAAAGCTCTTAAACCAGACCTAAACCTCTTAAACCAGGTCTAAATCCCTTAAACCAGATAGAAAACCCCTTAAGTCAGGACTAAATCTTTTAAACTAGGTTTAAATCCCTTAAACCAGGTTTGAATTCTTTAAACGAGATCCAAATCCTTTAAACCAAGTCTAAACCCCTTAAACCAGACAGAAGAGCCCTTAAGCAGGACTAAATCCTTTAAACCAGGTTTAAATCCCTTAAACCAGGTCTAAATCCCTTAAAGTAGGTTTAAATCCCTTAAACTAGGTTTAAACTCTTTAAACTAGGTCAAAAGCTCTTAAACCAGACCTAAACCTCTTAAACCAGGTCTAAATCCCTTAAACCAGATAGAAAACCCCTTAAGTCAGGACTAAATCTTTTAAACTAGGTTTAAATCCCTTAAACCAGGTTTGAATTCTTTAAACGACATCCAAATCCTTTAAACCAGGTCTAAACCCCGTAAACCAGACAGAAGAGCCCTTAAGCAGGACTAAATCCTTTAAACCAGGTTTAAATCCCTTAAACCAGGTTAAAATTCTTTAAACCAGGTCTAAATCCCTTAAACTAGGTTTAAATCCCTTAAACCAGGTTTAAATCCCTTAAATCAGCTTTAAATCCTTTAAACGAGCTCAAAAGCCCTTAAACCAGGTCTAAACTCTTTAAACCCAGTCTAAATCCTTTAAACTAGGTTTAAATCCCTTAAATCAGGTGTAAATCCCTTAAACCAGGTTTAAATCCTTTAAACCAGGTCTAAATCTCTTAAACCTGACAGAAAATCCCTTAAATCGGGTCTAAATCCTTTAAACTATGTTTAAAGGCCGTTAAGTCAAGTCTAAATCCTTGAAACTAGGTTTAAATCCCTTAAACCAGGTCTAAATTCCTTAAACCATGACAAAATACCTTAAACCAGATCTAAACCCCTTGAACCAGGTCTAAACCCCTTAAACCAGACAGAAAAGCCCTTAAGTCAGGTCTAAATCCTTGAAACTAGGTTTAAATCCTTTAAATCAGGTCTAAATCCCTTAAACTAGGTTTAAATCCCTTAAATCACCTTTAAATCCTTTAAACTAGCTCAAAAGCCCGTAAACCAGGTTTAAATCCCCGAAACCAGATAGAAAAGCCCTTAAGTCAGGTCTAAATCCTTTAAACTAGGTTTAAATTCCTTAATTTAAATTTAAATCCCTTAAACCAGGCCTAACCCTTTTCAATCAGGTCTAAATCTTTTAATCCAGGTCTAAACCCCTCAGACCAGGTTTCCATCCCTTAAGCCAGGCCGAAGTCCCTCAGTTTAGGTTTCAATCCCTTAAACCAGGCCTAAATCCCCCAATTTAAGCACCAGCGCCGCCTCCAGCTCCGACACAGCCGCCGCCATGGCGCCATCAACACCTCAGCGTTGCCAGGCAACGCTTATGATTGACAGGCTGAGAAGCCAATCAGTGAGGCCGAAACGCGGGTGCGAACGGGATGGACCAATAGGATGCGAATATGCCACAGGAAGAGGAGGGACGCGAAGGAAAAGGGAATTCTGGGAAGGGAGAATTGTACGGCACAACGCCGTACGGCACCTTAGACACAGCTCTAATTAAGCCAAGATTAATTAGGCTACTGGCTTAATTAGGCCTCGCAAGACGCCGACAGCGGAGGACTCGGACCGATCGTAGAAAATGGCGGGGTCTCGCTCGCCACCTGGGACAGGAGCGGCGTCGGCTCCTCCACCACCGTCTCCTACTAGGGCGCCATAGGAGGGAGCAACATGGCGGCGTTGCTTGGCAACAGCTGTAACGGACGGTTTAAAAGACCAATCAGCGAGGAGCAGGCCGAGAGCGTGAGCCAATTGGTGTTTAAAGGAGGCGGGACAAGCGGAGAAAGGCATTGTGGGCAACGTAGTGTGGGCCCTCAGAATGGGCCACAGGGCCGCCATAGCGGGGAGCAACATGGCGACGTCGCTTGGCAACCCGCGTGATTGACAGCTCTAAAAGCCAATCAGCAAGGAAAAAACAAACGAGGAGGAGAGGCAGAGCCAATAAAATGCCGAGCTTCGCCGGAAAGGGAGGGACCGGCGGAGTGTGTACGGAAAGAAGCGAAAGCGCCGCGGAGCCACCGGGACCGGACCGGGATCATCGGGATCGGAATTACCGGGATTGTCGGGATTACCGGGATTATCGGGATCGAGCAGGGCGCCCAGAGCCCTCCAGGCTCCGCCGGGGATGTTCCACGGCATCGCGGGCCCGGCCGGGATGGGCGGTGAGAGCGGGGAGCGATCCCGGAATTCCCGGGTTGGGATCGCCGGGAAAATCCCGGAATTCCCGGGATGGGATCGCCGGGATGATCCCGGAATTCCCGGGCTGTGATCGCCGGGATGATCCCGGAATTCCCGGGATGGCATTCCCGGTTTTCCCTCCTTTTAACCCTTTCCTTCCTCCCACAGCAGCGCCCGGGAATAAACCGGAGCTTTATGAGGTGAGTGCGGCTCGGGAATGTCCGGAAACGCTCGGGAATGTTCGGAGATGGTCGGAAATATCCGGGAGCGTCCGGAAACGGCCGAAGATGGTCGGAGATATGCGGGAATTGACGGAAATGTCCGGAAATTATCGGAAATGTCCGAGGATGTTCGGAAATGGCCGGGAATGAGCCCTGGACCTTTGGGGAGTTTCGGGAATTTTGGGGAATTTTTGGGAATTTCGGGAATTTTTGGGAATTTTCCGTCTCCTCTCCCCGCAGGAGGTGAAGCTCTACAAGAACGCCCGGGAACGGGAGAAGTGAGTGAGGGAATGGCGGGAATTTGGGGAATTTTTGGGATCAATCCCTGTTTGTCCCAGTTCATCCCAGTCCCTCCCAGTCCCATTCCTGTTAATCCCAGTTTATCCCAGTATATGCCAGTCCCTCCCAGTGTCCCATGATCCCCTCCCAGCCCATCCCAGTATAACCCAGTCTATCCCAGTATGACATTATCCCATCCCAGTCCATCCCAGTCCATCCCAGTCCCTCCCAGTCCATCCCAGTCCCTCCCAGTCCCATCCCAGTATATCCCAGTTCACCCAGTCTGTGCAGGTACGACAACATGGCCGAGCTGTTCCTGTTCATCCCAGTCCATCCCAGTCCCTCCCAGTCCATCCCAGTCCCTCCCAGTCCATCCCAGTATGACATGATCCCCTCCCAATCCCCTCCCAGTCCCTCCCAGTCCCTCCAGTCCATCCCAGTCCCTCCCAGTCCCTCCCAGTTCACCCAGTGTCCCCAGGTACGACAACATGGCCGAGCTGTTCCTGTTCATCCCAGTCCATCCCAGTCCCTCCCAGTCCCTCCCAGTCCCTCCCAGTCCCTCCAGTCCGTCCCAGTCCCTCCCAGTCCCTCCCAGTTCATCCCAGTATGACATTATCCCCTCCCAGTCCCTTCCAGTCCCTCCCAGTCCCTTCCAGTCCATCCCAGTCCCATCCCAGTCCATCCCAGTCCACCCCAGTCACTCCCAATCCCATCCCAGTCCATCGCAGTCCTTCCCAATCCCCTCCCAATCCCCTCCCAGTCCCTCCCAGTCCATCCCAGTCCCTCCCAGTGGCTCCCAATCCCATCCCAGTTCCCTCCCAGTATATCCCAGTTCACCCAGTGTCCCTCCCCAGCTACGACAACATGGCCGAGCTGTTCCTGTCCATCCCAGTCCCTCCCAGTCCATCCCAGTCCATCCCAGTGGCTCCCAGTCTGTCCCAGTACATCCCAGTTCACCCGGTGTCCCTCCCCAAGTACGACAACATGGCGGAGCTGTTCCTGTCCATCCCAGTCCCATCCCAGTCCATCCCAGTCCCTCCCAGTATATCCCAGTCCATCCCAGTTCACCCGGTGTCCGTGCAGGTACGACAACATGGCGGAGCTGTTCCTGTCCATCCCAGTCCATCCCAGTCCCTCCCAATCCCATCCCAGTATATCCCAGTCCGTCCCAGTTCACCCGGTGTCCGTGCGCAGGTACGACAACATGGCGGAGCTGTTTGCGGTGGTGAAGACGCTGCAGGCGCTGGAGAAGGCGTACATCAAGGACTGCGTCAGCCCCAACGAGTGAGTGCGCCCCGAACGCTCCCCAAAATCCCCAAAATCCCCCGAGAGCCGGGAACCCCGGAAAACCCCGGAGCATCCGGGGAAATTCCGGGAAATTCGGGGAAATCCGGGGAAATTCCGGGGAAATCCGGGGAATGCGGGGAAATTCGGGGAAATTCCGGGAAATCCGGGGAAATCCGGGGAAATTCGGGGAAATTCCGGGAACTCCGGGGAAATCCGGGGAAATTCCGGGGAAATTCCGGGGAAATTCCGGGGAAATCCGGGGAATGCGGGGAAATTCGGGGAAATTCCGGGAAATCCGGGGAAATCCGGGGAAATTCGGGGAAATTCCGGGGAAATTCTGGGGAAATTCCGGGGAAATTCCGGGAAATTCGGGGAAATTCCGGGGAAATTCTGGGGAAATTCCGGGGAAATTCCGGGAAATTCGGGGAAATTCCGGGGAAATTCGGGAACCCGCAGGTACACGGCGGCGTGCTCGTGGCTGCTGGTGCAGTTCAAGGCGGCGCTGAAGCAGGTGCAGGGCGGCGACATCGGCAACATCGACGACTTCTGCCGCAAATTCCGGGTGGGAATCCCGAATTTCGGGAATTTTGGAGATTTTGGGGGGATTTTTGGGAGGTTTTGGGTTAAATTTGAGCGAAATTTGGGTGAAATTTGGGTGAAATTTGCAATTTTCTCGAGAGAAATAGAGAAGCGGAATAGAAAAATTTGGGACTTTGGGGATGGAATTTTGGGAATTTGGGACTCTGGGATTGGGAATTTGGGAAATTCTGGGTGGAGCTTTGAGGGATTTTGGGCGAAATTTGGGTGAAATTTGGGATTTCCTTGAGAGGAATTGAGAAGCGGAATGGAAAAATTTGGGACTTTGGGGATGGAATTTTCGGTGGAATTTTGGGAATTTGGGACTCTGGGATTGGGAATTTGGGAAATTCTGGGTGGAGCTTTGAGGGATTTTGGGCGAAATTTGGGTGAAATTTGGGATTTCCTTGAGAGGAATTGAGAAGCGGAATGGAAAAATTTGGGACTTTGGGGATGGAATTTTGGGTGGAATTTTGGGAATTTAGGATTCTGGGGTTGGGGATTTTGGGAATTTGGGATTCTGGGGTTGGGAATTTGGGATTCTGGGGTTGGGAATTTGGGAATTTTGGCCGCGGCTGCTGGTGCAGTTCAAGGCGGCGCTGGAGCAGGTGCAGGGCGGCGACATCGGCAACATCGACGACTTCTGCCGCAAATTCCGGGTGGGAATCCCAAAATTTTGGGAATTTCGGAGATTTTGGGAATTTTTGGGGGATTTTGGGTGAAATTTGGGCGAAATTTGGGATTTTCTTGAGAGAAATTGAGACATGAAAAGGAAAAATTTGTGGATTTGGGATTGAATTTTGGGTGGAATGTTTGGAATTTAGGATTCTGGGATGATGAATTTTGGGAATTTTGGGAATTCTGGGTGGAGTTTTGAGAGATTTTGGGTGAGATCTGGGAGAGATTTGGGATTTTCTTGAGAGAAATTGAGACATGAAAAGGAAAAATTTGTGGATTTGGGATTGAATTTTGGGTGGAATGTTTGGAATTTAGGATTCTGGGATGATGAATTTTGGGAATTTTGGGAATTCTGGGGGGAGGTTTGAGGGATTTTGGGTGAAATTTGGGCGAAATTTGGGGGAAATCTGGGATTTTCTTGAGAGAAATTGAGACATGAAAAGGAAAAATTTGTGGATTTGGGATTGAATTTTGGGTGGAATTTTTGGAATTTAGGATTCTGGGATGATGAATTTTGGGAATTTTGGGAATTCTGGGTGGAGTTTTGAGAGATTTTGGGTGAAATTTGGGTGAAATTTGGGATTTTCTTGAGAGAAATTGAGACATGAAAAGGAAAAATTTGTGGATTTGGGATTGAATTTTGGGTGGAATTTTTGGAATTTAGGATTCTGGGATGATGAATTTTGGGAATTTTGGGAATTCTGGGTGGAGTTTTGAGGGATTTTGGGTGAAATTTGGGCGAAATTTGGGGGAAATCTGGGATTTTCTTGAGAGAAATTGAGATGCGGAATGGAAAAATGTGGGACTTTGGGGATGGAATTTTGGGTGGAATTTTGGGAATTTGGGACTCTGGGATTATGAAATTTGGGAATTTGGGATTCTGGGGTTGGGAATTTGGGGAATTCTGGGTGGAGTTTTGAGGGATTTTGGGTGAAATTTGGGCAAAATCTGGGATTTTCTTGAGAGAAATTGAGAAGCGAAAAGGAAAAATTTGGGACTTTGGGGATGGAATTTTGGGAGAATTATGGGGATTTAGGATTCTGTTTTCTTGAGAGGAATTGAGAAGCGAAAAGGAAAAATTTGGGACTTTGGGGATGGAATTTTGGGAATTTGGGATTATGAAATTTGGGAAGTTTGGGAATTTGGGATTCTGGGGTTGGGGATTTTGAGAATTTGGGATTCTGAGATTTGGAATTTTGGGCAAAATTCTGGCAAAATTTAGAGATTTTGGGGAGGTTTTTTTGGTTTTTGTGTCATTTTAGGACCAAAATCGAGGAGTGAAATAGAAAAATTTGGGAGTGAAATTCAGGAATTTTGGGAATTTGGGATTCTGGGATTGGGAATTTTGGGATTTTGGGTGAAATTTGGGTGAAATTCTGGGACTTTTTGGTTCTTTTTTTATTTTTGTGATAATTTTTGACTGAAATTGAGCGGTGGAAGGGAAAAATTTGGGAATTTTAGGAAATTAATTTGGGAAAATTTTTGGGAAATTTGGGAATTTTTTTGGAATTGCAGCTGGATTGCCCCCGGCCATGGATGGAATTGGGAAATTTGGGGGTGAAATGGGGAATTTTTTGGCATTTTTGGGGGAATTTTTGTGGGAATTTCTGGGAATTTTGGGACTAATATTTGGAATTTTGGGATTGGGAATTTGGGGGTGAAATTGGGAATTTTTGGGGGATTTTTTGGGATTTTTTATGGGAATTTCTGGGAATTTTGGGACTAATATTTGGAATTTTGGGATTGGGAATTTGGGGGTGAAATTGGGAATTTTTGGGGGATTTTTTGGGATTTTTTATGGGAATTTCTGGGAATTTTGGGACTAATATTTGGAATTTTGGGATTGGGAATTTGGGGGTGAAATTGGGAATTTTTGGGGGATTTTTTGGGATTTTTTATGGGAATTTCTGGGAATTTTGGGACTAATATTTGGAATTTTGGGATTGGGAATTTGGGGGTGAAATTGGGAATTTTTGGGGGATTTTTTGGGATTTTTTATGGGAATTTCTGGGAATTTTGGGACTAATATTTGGAATTTTGGGATTGGGAATTTGGGGGTGAAATTGGGAATTTTTGGGGGATTTTTTGGGATTTTTTATGGGAATTTCTGGGAATTTTGGGACTAATATTTGGAATTTTGGGATTGGGAATTTGGGGGTGAAATTGGGAATTTTTGGGGGATTTTTTGGGATTTTTTATGGGAATTTCTGGGAATTTTGGGACTAATATTTGGAATTTTGGGATTGGGAATTTGGGGGTGAAATTGGGAATTTTGGGGGGAATTTTTTGGGGGGATTATTTCTGGAATTTCTCAGAATTTTTGGATTTTTTTCATTTCAGGGGGGATTTTTGCAGGAATTTCTGGGAATTTCAGCTCTGAAATTGAGGAGGGCTTTGGGAAATTCGGGAAATTCGGGAATTTTTTGGGAAATTTGGGGATTTTTTGGGAATTGCAGCTGGATTGCCCCCTGGCCATGGAGCGGATCCGCGAGGATCGCCCGATCACCATCAAGGACGACAAAGGGAACCTGAACCGCTGCATCGCCGACATCGTCTCCGTACGCCCCAAAAAATGGGAATTTTATGGGAATTTTGGGAATTCTGGGGCTGTTTGGGAATGGTTGGGGCTCTGGGAATTTTGGGGATTTTTTTTCAGATTTTTTCCAAATTTTTTGTGGATTTTTTAGGACATTTTTTATGATTTTTTTTGATTATTTTTTAATTTTTTGCGATTAATTTTGGAATTTTTTGGTAAATATTTTGGGAATTTTTGGGGTGATTACTTTTGGGATTTTTGGTCAATATTTTTGGGATTTTTTGAGATTTTTTGGAATTTTTTGGTAAATATTTTGGGAATTTTTGGGGTGATTACTTTTGGGATTTTTGGTCAATATTTTTGGGATTTTTTGAGATTTTTTGGAATTTTTTGAGGGATTTTTGGGGAGGATTTTTAGGAATTTTTTAGAGGATCTCTTTGGGAACCTGAAGCGCTGCATCGCCGACATTGTCTCCATACGCCCCAAAATCAGAATTTTGGGGGGATTTGAGGGGTTTGGGAATTCTGGAGTTCTGGAAATGTTTGGGATTTTTTGGGGAATTTTAAGGCATTTTTTGGAGCAATTTTAACGACTTTTAAAAGAATTTTTGGGGCATTTTGTGATTTTTTTTGGGAATATTTTGCTTTATTTTTGGTTTTTTAGAGGCTTATTTTGGGGGGATTTTTATGGGAATTTTTTGGGGAACATTTTGTGATATTTTTGTAAATATTTTATGGTTACGTTAGATTTTCAGGGAATTATTTTTTAAATTTTTTTTATTTTTAGGAATTTTTTGAGATTTTTTGAGAGGTTTTTTCAGGATTTTTGATGAATATTTTGTGACTTTTGTAATTTTTTGGTGAATTTTTTTTTGTTTTTTTAGCAATTTTTGGCCATTTTTTGGTGATTTTTGAGGTTTTTTTTAGGTTTCTTTTTCAGTTTTTAGGAATTTTTTTGATGTTTTGTGATTTTTGAGAAAGTTTTCATTTTGTGGGTTTTTTTTAAATTTTCTTTGAATTTTCTTTGGATTTTTTGGGGTTTTTTTGGGTGTTTATGGAGATTTTCTGGGGATTTCTTTGGGAACCTGAAGCACTGCATCGCCGACATCGTCTCTGTACGCCCCAAAAAATCAGAATTTTGGGGGAATTTTGGGAATTCTGGGGCTGTTTGGGGTTCTGGAAATGTTTGGGATTTTTTTCAGATTTTTTCCGAATTTTTTGTGGATTTTTTAGGACATTTTTTGAGATTCTTTTGATTATTTTTTTATTTTTTGCGATTAATTTTAGATTATTCTTGTAAATATTTTGGGATTTTTTGGTGTGATTACTTTTGGGATTTTTGGTCAATATTTTTGGGATTTTTCCAGATATTTTTTTGATTTTTGAGGGAGTTTTGGGGGGATTTTTTGAGGAGTTTTTGGGGATTATTTTGGATTTTTTGAGGGTTTTTTGAGATTTTTTTTTTATTATTTTGGATTTTTGGGGGATTTTTCAGGGGGATTTTTTGAGAATTTTTTGGGAGGATTTTTAGGAATTTTTTAGGAATTTTCTGGGGATTTTTGGGAACCTGAAGCGCTGCATCGCCGACATCGTCTCCGTACGCCCCAAAAAATCAGAATTTTGGGGGAATTTGGGGTTTTGGGAATGGTTGGAGGTCTGGGAATTTTGGGGATTTTTTTTCAGATTTTTTTCAGATTTTTTTGAGATTTTTGGGAGGTTTTTTAAAAATTTTTTGTGATTTTTTTTTTATTTTTGTAATGAAGTTGGGGTTTTTTAATGAATATTTTTGTGATTTTTGGAGGCTTTTTTGAGATTTTTTTTGAGGATTTTCTGATAATATTTTGGATTTTTTTAGGGGTTTTTTTGGGGATTTTTTCAGGATATTTTGAGAATTTTTTTTGGGTTATTTTGGATTTTTGGGGGAGATTTTTTTGGGGATTTTTGGATTTTTTTGAGATTTTTTTTTTTATTTTTTTGAGGGATTTTTTGGGAGGATTTTTAGGAATTGTTTAGGAATTTTGTGGGGATTTTTGGGAACCTGAATCGCTGCATCGCCAACATCGTCTCCGTACGCCCCAAAAATCAGAATTTTGGGGGGATTTGGGGGAATTTGGGGAATTCTGGGAGTGTTTGGGGTTCTGGAAATGTTTGGGATTTTTTTCAAATTTTTTCCGAATTTTTTGTGGATCTTTTAGGACATTTTTAGTGATTTTTTGTGATTATTTTTTGATTTTTTGTGATTAATTTTGGATTATTTTGGTGCATATTTTGTGATATTTTTGGTGTGATTATTTTTTGGATTTTTTTGGTCAATATTTGTGGGAATTTTGGAGGATTTTTTTTTTATTTTTTTCAGGGAATTTTCTGGAGATTTTTTGAGGATTCTTTTGGAATTATTTTGGATTTTTTTCCTGGGGATTTTTTTGGATTATTTTGGAATTTTTGGGGATTTTTCAGGGGGATTTTTTGAGCATTTTTTGGGAGGATTTTTAGGAATTTTTAGGGGATTTTCTGGGGATTTTTGGGAACCTGAATCGCTGCATCGCCAACACTGTCTCCGTACGCCCCAAAAAATCAGAATTTTGGGGGGATTTGGGGGAATTTGGGGGGTTTGGGAATTCTTGGGGGTCTGGAAAATTTGGGGATTTTTTTCAGATTTTTTCCGAATTTTTTGTGAATTTTTAAAAATATATTCTTATATTTTTCATGATTTTTTTTTATTTTTTTGAGATTAATTTTGAAATTTTTTTGGTGAATATTTTGTGATTTTTTTTTAAATTCTTTTAAAATTTTTTTGAAAAATTCCCCAATTCCTACCCAAAAATTGCAAAAAAAAATCCCCAAAAATCTTCCTAAAAATTCCCCCAAACCTCCCCCAAAATGCCCAAAAAATTCCCCAAAAATTCCAAAAAATCTCCAAAAAATCCCCCCAAAAGCCCCAATTCCATTCCCTAAAATTCAAAAAAAAACTCCCAAAATCTCTAAAAATCCCAAAAAATTCCCCCAAAATTCGCCCAAAAGTCTCAAAAAAATTTCCCAAATTTCTCCAATTCCATTCCTTAAAATTCCCAAAAAATCCCCAAAAATGTTTCTAAAACCCCCCAAAACCTCCCTCAAAATTCCCAAAAATGCCCAAAATTCCCCAAAAATTCCTCAATAATCTTCCTAAACACCCCCAAAATTCCCTGAAAAGTGAAAAACGTCCCCAAAAATGCTGCAAAATCTTCCTGAAAACCCCAAAAAATTCGCTAGAAACCCCCAAATTTCCCCAATTTCATACCCAAAAATCCCCAAAATATTCTCCCCAAAATATCCCCCAAAATCTCTAAAAATCCAAAAAAATCCCCAAAAAATCCCCTGAAACCTCATAAGAATTCCCCAAATTTCTCAAAAAATTCCCCAGAAAAAATCCCCAAAATTCCTCAAGAAATGCCCGAAAGTTCCCAAAAAAGTCCCCAAAAAATCCCTCAAAAATTCCCAAAAACTCCAAAAAATCCCTCAAAATTCCACCAAAAATCCTTAAAAATGCCCCAAAATTGCTCCAGAAATCACAAAAAAATCCCCAAATTTCCCAAATTCCCCAAAAATTCCCAAAATGTGGGAATTTCCCAGATCCAGCCGGAGCTGTGGGCGCTGCTGGAGACGATGACCCGGATGAGCTCCCTGCCCCTCTGTCCCAAAAATTCCCCAAAATCCCCCAAATTTCTCCAATTTCATTCCCAAAAATCCCCAAAATATTTCCTCCAAAAAAAATCCCCCAAAAAACCCCTAAAAATAAAAAAAAAATTCCCAAAAAATTCCCAAAACTATGCCCAAAATTCTTAAAAAAATCCCAAAAAATTCCCCAATTCCTACTCAAAATTTTTTTAAAAAATACCTCCAAAAATCTTCCTAAAAACCCCCCCCAAACCCTCCCGGAAAATTTCCAAAAATCCCCAAAAATTCCAAAAAATCTCCAAAA